GTTTTTCTCCAAATGATGAACTAACTCATATCCTTTCTCTGACCAAGTTAAAGTATGTCAATTTGGGAGTGAGAACGCATCAGTGACCTTGAATGCAGGCTAGTCGTTGGATAACAGCACCAATGTGAAGGAATTCAGGTGGAAATTTCATGCCAAACGCGTTTTTAAGTACTTTTTGCATAACTCGTTGATAGCTTGTTGGGGTTACGTTTAGGTTTAGTATTAAGATTTAGGTCAAGACTAAGGTTAAGATTAGGGTTAGGCTGGTGGTTGGGATTAGGGCGAGGGTGTTTCATTTTTATTATCTGAATTTTTCTAGTAAATAATTTTTGTTCCCCTTACTGGGAACCTTAATAATTCAATGAAGAGCTTTCAGAAAAGACTGAAAACCATAGAGTAACAGCGACAAAAGAGGCACAAACTGGTCTGAATTAAGAACTGATACTCCTCATCATAATACAAAGATGTATTTGATGTTCACGTTTTGGTTTTCAGGGATCTGATTGCTTACAGGATTTAATCATGAACTAACGTCAGTTAGAGAACCATTGGAAAACCACCAGGAAGTACTGGAGAGCTTTTTCGGTCTAGTTTGAGATTCTGCAATAATACGCACCCACTGGGGTTCGAACCCAGGTACTTCTGGTTACAAGGCAAGCTGATAGACCATTTAACCACTGGGACCCAATCCAGTGATCTATGAATTCCAACTTCTGCCGATCTTCATGATGAAATCCTGTAACCACGAAACAAATCACTGCAAACCAACACTTAAATATCAACGAGATGCTCACTAGCGACTTACCCTATTCAGGTAGGTAGTTACCTGGGGTTCTAGTGAGAAGTCGTGACCAGTAGGGTGAATGAGGTCGGGTGTGAGGACAAATACTCGCCGAAGACATTGGCTGGCGGCTGCACTATATCGTGAATTGGATGAAGTTAGAATTCATGGACCAGTGGGTCGAGTCTTAGTGACTTATTGACCTACGAGCTCGCCTTGTAACCAGAAGGTCCTGGATTCAAACCTCAGTGGGTGCGTACTGATAAAGAGTCTCGCACTAGGGAGAAACAGCTATCCAGTACTCCTTTCTGGTCTTTCAATTGTCCTCTAACCGATCTCAGTTCATGATGAAATCCAGAGATATTTTTAATTCATATCAGGGGAAAATATCCTGTTCACTATGTTCTGTCATCATTATTCTCTGTACTTCTCTTGTAAATAAACGTAATTTTTCACGTAAAAACCACTGGTTTTCGTGACTGGTTGCCTCAAGGTTAGTCGCTCGTTCACATTCCATGGATCGATAGCTTATAGTTTCAATTTGGCCCTTTTCCTTTCATGACAGGGGAAGTTATTTCACAATAAAATAACAAAGAAGAACTCCTTTCAAAAACAAAACAATCTATTTATCTTTAATGAATGCATTATTAGAATTATTTTTATAAACATGAAGTTATTAAATGACAATGATTTCCAATATCACCAACATGAAATTTATGTTTCTTCAAACTGTGCTTCATTTGCCTAAGAGTATTACTAAGATCAGCAAAGCATTATTGTCTCCCTTAGTGAGTAATTGTCAGATCGTTTGCTCCTATGCAATAAATTTATTCCCATCAGGTTTTCTTGAATAACCACCATTTGTCGCTTGACTATGATGACCATCTAAAAAGTAGCAATAACGCAGAAAATTTATCAAAGAGATTTATACTACTTGTTAGTAGCCTGCGCAAAATATAAAAATATTCAAGGCATTTTTATGGTTGTACATCAAAACACTAACATATTAACTCTTGAAATTTAATCTGATGCTCGCTAGCGACTACTTGCTACAGGAAGAAGTTGAATAGATGGGGGAAAAATGCTGGCCAATAGTGGCATTGGTGGGAGGTTCCATCACGAATTGATAGAAGTTAGAATTCATGGGCTGGTCACTGAGTCGGGTCGCAATCTACGAACTTACCTTGTAACCGGAAGGTCCTAGGTTTGAACGATGGCAAAATAGCGATGTGGGTTTTTAGTGGTTCTCTAAATGATATCAATCCGTGATCAAACTTGAAACAGATCAAATCTCCACAAACAAAATCTTGAAAGTTGTATACACACCAAAAACCAGATAGACTTCATTTTAATGTTGCTGAGGGAAGTAGAGAGGTAGTTTGTTTGACAGAAAATCCAGAAGACAGTCGGATGGAGATAAACTGAAATTCAAGTTCAACACTCAGAAATTGAAGAACAAAACTACCAAGAACACAAAGTCATTAAAGCCATCACAGCATATTCAGAGACATTATGATGAATTGTCAACGAGAGCTGTTCAGAAGAACTTTGGAACCCCATAAAAGTGATATTTAACAAAACATCTAGTTTAGAGAATAGGCTGTTTTTCGGAGAATTCATTTTGCTTTTCAGCTACATAATCGCATTCAGGTACAATCTCCCTTTTAATTAAAGAGGGTAGTAAAAAAAGTGATCAGTTGTCGAACAACCAATGTACCTGGCTCAATGATGACAGGTAAACTGAAATATGCACGCAGAATAGGTCAGATGCAAGATTTTGTCCTGCCTAAAAGTGTTCAAGAACAGTATCCCATATTGTTGCAGAAAGGTAATAGTAGATCTACAAGGTGTGTGATAATCGAACACCTTTTCATCCCAACAAACTCCCCATTAAAAGTGAGAAACAACCTGTCAGAGGCAATATGCTCCCGTCTCCTTTGCACGGTTGGAGCTTTAGCCAATCGAATAAAGAAATCACACTCCTGCATACAAAAGAAAATTATTCAGCCATTTCTACTACTATTATGGTAACAACCTCAATGTTGATCTCTGCGGGCTTGACTTTTGTTTGTTTGTGTGTGTTTCCAATTCCTTATAACTCTCATATTTCTCTAGAACCCTTAAATAATTCCGAATTCCAGGTATTGTTTCCGCAGGGATTTTGTTTGATTGCTTGGAGGATATCATTATGAGCTGTCATCAGTTAGAAAACCGCTAGAAAACCAGCGGGGAGTAATGGATAGCTGTTTCGTCAGCCTAGTTCGGGACTCTTCAGTAGTACTCATTCACCACAGGGAGTCGAACACAAGACCTTCTGGTTGCAAGGCGAGCTGGCTCGTAGACCATTCATCAGCCACTGGGACCCAATCCAATGGCCAGCCTATGAATTCTAACTTCTGCCATTTCATGCACAACATAGCACGACCACTTCTTAATGTCTTCTTCGATGAGTTACTGCCTCACCTTCAACCTGCTGTTTCTACTGACCACGTCTTCCCACTGGAACTCCAGGTTAACTGCCTTAATATGACCAGTCGCTAGTGAGCGTCAGATCATATTTTCTTTGTTTTCTATGTGCACATCCTGATTACAACTCATTCGTCACTAAATTATTCATCATATTACGTAACTTAAGTACACTTATTTAAGTCCTTTTATGCATTCATTGACTAATATTACACAACTGTGATTGTGACACATCTGAAGTGGCGACGACTAGTGGTGTCCGTCAGGGATGCCCATTATCCCCATTCCTATTCAATTTCATCATAGATGTACTAATGAACTTAGCCCTAACTGCTGACTTCAGCGACTTAAGGATTGACTTGCTACCAGGGAATAATCTCCTTGACTTAGAATATGCAGACGATATAGTCCTTCTAGGCGAGGACGCTGATAAAACGCAGTAGGGTCTTCTGAACACTTTGAACTGCAATCTACGAATGTTCGGCATGCGATTCGCCCCTGTAAAATGTAAGATGATGTTGCAGGATTGGACTACACTGACTCCTAGCTTAGAAATAGGAAGTGAAGTGGTAGAGCACGTTGACCGCTTCACTATTTTATTTTATCATTTTCATTATCAGAATTTTTCTAGTAAATAATGTTTGCTCCTCTTACTGGGAAGCTTAATAATTTAACGAAGGGCTCTCAGGAAATACTGAAAACCATAGGGTAACAGCGACAAAAGAGGTACAAAAATAACTCGTATACAGAAAGTGGTCTATATTAAGAAATGATACTCCTCATCACAAGAGAGATATGTTTTTAATATTCACACTTTGGTTTACAAGGATTTGATTGGTTACAGGATTTCATCATGAATTGACGTCCGTTAGAGAACCATTGGAAAACCACCAGGAAGTACTGGAGAGCTTTCTCGGTCTACTTTGAGATTCTTCAGTAATAAGCACCCACTATGATTTGGACCCAGGACCTTCCAGTTACAAGGCAAGCTGACAGACCATTAAACCGCTGGAACCCTATCCAGTGATCCATGAATTCCAATTTCTGCCGATGTTCATAATGAAATCCTTTAACCAATCAATCAAATCCCTGCAAACCAACACTTGAATATCAACGAGATGCTCACTGGTGACTGGCCCCAGTGGGAAGTTGTGACCAGTAGGGTGAAGCAGGTCGGGTGTGAGGACAAATACTCGCCGAAGACATTGGCTGGCGGTTGCGCTGTATCGTGCATTGGCAGAAGTTAGAATTCATGGACCATTGGGTCGTGTCTTAGTGACTTATTGACCTATGAGCTCGCCTTGTAACCAGAAGGTCCTGGATTCAAACTTCAGTGGGTGCGCACTGATAAAGAGTCTCACACTAGGACGAAACAGCTATCCAGTACTCCTTTCTGGTTTTCCAATGGTCCTCTAACGGATGTCAGTTCATAATGAAATCCTGAGATTGTTTTAATTCAAATCAGGGGAAAATATCCTGTCCAGTGTTTTCTGTCATCACTATCCTCTGTACTTCTCTTGTAAATAAACGTAATTTTCCACGTAAAAACCACTGGTTTTTGTGATTGGTCGCCTCAAGGTAAGCCGCTCGTTCACATTCCATGGATCGATAACTTATAGTTTAATTTTGCCCCTTTTTCTTTCATGACAGAAGGATTTATTTCATAATGAAACAACAAAGAAGACCTCCTTTCAAAAACAGCTCAATCTATTATTACATAATGAATGAATTATTAGAATTAATTTTATAAACATGAAGGTATTAAATGACAATGATTCCAAATATAACCAAAGATCAATTTTATGTTTCTTCAAACTGTGCTTCATTTGCCTAAGAGTATTACTAAGATCAGCAAAGCATTATTGCCTCCCTTAGTGAGTAATTCTCAGCTTGTTTGCTCTTATGCAATAAATTTATTCCCATCAGGTTTTCTTGAATAACCACCATTTGTCGCTTGACTATGATGACCATCTGAAAAGTAACAATACCACAGAAAATTTAGCAAATAGAATCATACTACTTGTTAGTAGCTTGAGTAAAATATAAAATATCCAAGACTTTCTTCATGATACGTTAGTTGAACATCAAATCCCTAAAAATTAGCTCTTGAAAATTAACCTGATGCTCGCTAGCGACTACTGGCTACAGGAAGAAGTTGAATAGATTGAGGAAGAATGCTGGCCAGTAGTGGATTTGTTGGGGGGTTCCAGTTGCTTTAAAATCATCACGAATTGATAGAAGTTAGAATTCATGCACTGGCCATTGAGGCGGGTTGCAATCTACGAACTTACCTTCTAACCAGAAGGTCCTGGATTTGAATGATGGTGAAATAGCTATGTGGGCTTTCAAAGGCTCTCTAACTGATATAAATCCGTTATCAAACTTGAAACAGATCAAATCTCCACAAACTAAATCTTGAAAGTTGTACACACACCAAAAATCAGATGGACTTCATCTTATTTTTGCTCAAGAAAGTAGAGACGCAGCCTGTTTGACGGAAAGTCGAGATAGACAGATGGGGATAAACCATAATTCGAGTTTAACAATGAAAAACTGAAGAAAAAACTGCCAATAACACACATTTACTGAAACCATCACAGCAAATTCAGAGACATTATGATGCGATGCCAACTAGAGCTGTTCAGAAGAAATTTGAAACTCCTTAAAAGTGATGTTTAACAAAATACTTAGTTTAGGGAACAGGTTGTTTTTCATTTTAATCTTTTGGTATACAATCGCATTAATTCCGAATCTTCCTTTTCATGAAAGAGGGTAGTAACAAAAGTGATGAGTTGTCGAACGACCAATGTACCTGGCTCGACAGCGACAGGTAAACTGAAATATGCACATAGAAAAGGTCAGATGCGAGGTCTTGTCCTGCCTAAAATTGCTCAAGAACAGTAACCCGTATTTTTTTCAGAAAGTTAGTAGTAGCTCTGCAAGGTGTTTGACAACTGAACACCTTTTGAACACTGATGATCATTTCATCCCAACAAACTCTCACATTAAAAGTGAGAAACAACCTGTCAGAGGCAATATGCTTTTGTCTCCTTTGCACGTCTGAAGCTTTAGCCATTCATGTGGAGAAATCACAGCTCTGCATACAAAAGAAAATTATTCAGCCACTTCTATTACTACTATGGTAACAACCTCAATTTTGATTTCTGCCAGCTTGAATTTTGTTTGTTTATTTGTCTTTCCAACTCCTTATAACTCGCATATTTATTTAGAACCCTCACATAATTCCGAATTCCAACTATCGGTTTCGTAGAGATTTTGTTTGATTGGTTGTAGGATTTCATCATGAGCTGTCATCACTTAGAGAACCATTGGAAAACCAAGTTCGGGACTCTTCATTGGTACGCACCCACAATGCGGGGTTCGAACACAGAACCTCCCGGTTACAAGACTAGGGAGCTCGTAGACCATTCATCAGCCACTGGGACCCGATCCAATGGCCAAGCCATGAATTCCAACTTCTGCCAATTAATGCACGGCATAGTCCGACCACTTCGTAATGTCTTCTTCGACGAGTTATTGCCTCACCTTCAACCTGCTGAACCCAGCTGGTGATGGCTTCCCACTAGAACCCCAGGTAACTAACTGCCTGAATAGGGCCAGTTGCTAATTAGCATTAGATCATATTTTCTTTGTTTTCTATGTGCACTTCATGATTACAACTCATTCATCACTAAATTATTCATCATATTACGTAACTTAAATGCACTTATTTAACTCGTATTATGCATTCATTGACTAATATTACACAACTGTGATTGTGACACATCTGAAGTGGTGACGACTAGTGGTGTCCGTCAGTGATGCCCATTGTCCCCATTTTTATTCATTTTCATCATAGATGTACTAATGGACTTAACCCTAAGTGCTGTCTTCAGCGACTTGGCGGTTGACTTGTTACCAGGGAATAGTCTCGTTGACTTAGAATATGTACACGATATAGTCCTTCTAGGCAAGGACGCTGACAAAATGCAGAGTCTTCTGAACACCTTGAGCTGCAATCTACGAATGTTTGGTATGCGATTCGCTCCTACTGTCAAATGTAAGATGATGCTACAGGACTGGACTACACTGATTCCTAGCTTAGAAATAGGGAGTGAAGTGGTAGATCACTTTGACCGCTTCACTTATTTGAGAAGTACCATCAGCCAACGCCAACGGGTTGATCTCTGACGAAATCTCAACACGGATACAGAGGGCTAGTTTCTTATATGCCAGTTTACTCCGTCTCTGGCGTAGACGTGATATCCGGCTGGCTATTGGTCAAAGGACGTGTGTGCTGCTCAGCAGTCCGCTCCGTTCTCCTTATGGCTGTGAGACCTGGCCATTGAGAGTGGAAGACATGAAAAGATTACCCGTCTTTGATCATAGGTGCCTGTGTTCTAACTCCTGTGTGAATTGGTATAATAAGGTGAACAATATTGAGGTTAGGCATCGAGTGCTAGGTATGGAAGGGAAGTCAATCAACGAGGCTGTGATGTTTCATCGACTGAGATGGTTAGGACATGTGTTACGTATGCCTAGTCATCGACTTCCTCGACGTGTAATGTTAGGCTGGAAAAGAGCTAGTGGCCGTCAAACCAAAACATGGCACCAGTCAATGAAATCTACAACAGTTAGTCTAAGCCACGTAGGAAGGTGTAGACTTCCTGATTGGTTGGGGTCCTCGGGACGGTAAAAACCAATGAAGGCTGGAGACAACTAGTGCTATGGCTCAAAATCGTTCTCAATGGCTAGCGCAGATGCATCCACTCCTTGTAACTTATGATTTCAAATGAAACTATATCGTTCTGTATGCGAAACCCGTATGCATTTCTTCTACTTTCATTTCTTGCTCTGGATTTATAAAAAGCTGCAATCAAAAACAGAGGATAGTAAAAATATATATAAGGTAAATTATTAGACCATGTGGATGCATTGACATGGTTGTGGACAGCACTCAGTTGTAATCTAAACGCTATCTAGCATTCAATAATGTATAATGTTAGATCAATAATGTTAGATCGAAATGAATCCCACTGTAATACTTCCGTCACCGGATGGGCAAATAGTTCTGTATCTTGCTGAGTGAAACTCATGAAATGGTCAGATATGTCCATATGATTGAGTTCTTTTAATCAAATATGGCTGAAAAATGGAGGTTGATCTGAAAGTTCTCAGTAAAAACAATGTCTGGATATGTATATGACATGGATTTTCTATTGTCATATGAAAGATGATACTCCAAGACTTATCTAAAGCTTTGGAAAGTATTCAATTCAGCACTTATCTACAGAGCTGCATTAACTCTGACAGACTTATCGATAGAGAGGATACACACATTACAGAGAAGACAGAAGTTTCAAAACTAGAATTATACTGTTTGTAATAGTCTTAGTTTTATCATGATTATTGCTGTTTCCGTGAGTTCCGAGTCGAACATAGGGCTTCAACAACCTTTCTCCATTTTGTCCTACCCTCTCTCGCCCCACGATTGCCCATAATCTCTGATTTCCTCCGTGTCACCATTGAAACAATTCCCAACTCGTCGCTCATTTCTCATTCGTGTTCCCCTCGAGCAGTGGCCCAGAGTGCGATGTCCTTCAGTGGTTTCCTCAGCCCGTGTCCTATCCACCTTCATTTTCGTCTAAATATTTGTTGAGCGGTTGGAGGTTCCTGACTGGTTCGTTTCGAGTCTCTTGTTGAGAATTCTTTCTAAATGGCCAGCCATCTGATCTTCAGTATGACGGCTTTCCGTAATGTGAACGTGAACACATCACACTTATACATTTTTAACCAGACTAGAAGTCGACTAGATAAGCGGTCAATAAACTCTTCTAACTGGTTGACGATTGGCCCAAGGTTAAACAATGAGATGACTCGTTTCCAGACTACAACGTCAACTAGATCTAGCATTGAAAGATTGGTTCTTCTACCTTTTCAGCCATCGAGTTAAGATGTTGATTTCACTTTTGGTCGCTTCCTGTCAATTCTCATTTACATACTACTCACAAATCGTATCAGTAGCGCATGCCATATATTTATTGTCGATCACATTTGATACATTGCAGTCTATGCACCCGACTAAAATAAAGGGAGCGTACAGTAATCTAATGAGAGACGCTACACTTATATATTATGGTTTAGAAAATGCTTTCCACTCTCCTTCTTGAGTAACTACTTCCTCAGAGTCAATACAGAAGAAATATAATAAAAATTTGTTAAAATCGCAATGTATATATATATATATATTACCTATTGCTTCCGAAACATTTTCAAGACGATCTCTACGTTCACATGTCCATATTGTAAATGGCTGACTTGGAGGCGGTCGCTTAACAGGAACTTTTACAGGACGATTTTTAAGCACTCTTCTGAAAGAAGGAAACAGAGGGAACACATTTTAAGGACCATATAAGATATTTGTATCTATACTCAATTAAAATCATTTAAAAAGTTTGAGATGATATGCTTCGAATCTGGTCATATCAGATCCAGTAGCAAAGAAATCCTTGTTTTCACCAAATACCTGAGAGAACTACTCCTCAGTTACGACATCAACATTTAATTCCACCTCAACGAACAATTCTATGTACAAAAAGATGGTGTGATTATAGAATTCCCTCTCTTAGATGTCGTGTTCTAAGTGACAGAGACAATGTTAAGCGCGAAACCTATGACCTGCCTTGTTGTTAATAACATAATTTTAGGCTCTTTTATTTCTCTCTTATTTTGTATTCTACAGTGAACTGCTTCTTAAACACACTTAGCTACCTAAATTATTAACATTGGCTTCCTTTTTTGTACTTTACTATATTCCTTCTTTTGTGTATCTACTGGTTCCGACTATATTAGCACTATGAGTATAACAAAATTGTCCTGCCATTAACCATCATGTAATTATTAGTTTTTGTGGTGGTTTTTTTCAGCAGTATTAACTGACAATCATTGGTTGTGAACGCCATTGTCACCATCTTAAAATTTTGTATTATGCAGGATTACTCACACTACCACTAAAAACACTGCATTAGACCTGACAATAAAAAACAAAACAACAACCCTGAAATGTTATTTCATGATTGTTTAGTGTTGTTTCAACTAAATTAACTGATCATCTTGGCGATAAGCTTTCTTAAATATCATTTCATAACTTCTTGTATGACTAGAGCTTTAATGTCACCATGCATAATCACATCATAGGTTCCACCATCCAATACTGAGATATTATTTTATGTTGTTTATTTTCCTTTCTACTTCTTAGTATTCTTTTCGCATTTTTTAAATATTATTTTTGTGTTTTTTGTTTTTGTTGTCTTTATATTTATTTTTTTTTGAAGTACTCCTTTTAAACGTTGGACAAAGTTAGATGCAAATATTGTAGATATGTGCTGAAAATTCCAGACTGTACCACTAGTACTGCTTCTGGAATAAAGCAAATTATTATTGTTTATATGGTCAGAATTGAAAATAATATCCTCGATCCTTTGACTAGTCAGCTTCATATTCACAGAAGATATGTAGATCCTATGTTTCTTATTTCTGAAGAAGAATTAGAACTAGACACTTGCCTTATCTTGATCCACAATGGCGAACTCATAGAAGACTTTGAAGTGATAACGTAAGTAACACAAATCCGCTGACCACTATCACACACGATGATATTCCTAAGTGAGATGAATTGAACTGTACTGAAGACCATATGTGGGGAGCCAGAAGACAGGAATACACTGGACCGATGAGACGTCTCTCGAATATCTGGGCTTTGGCAACCATTACCGTTCAATGTCACACAAAATCGAAGGCTTACAGGAGAAAACCAACAAGTTGGAAGAAGAAGAAGAAGGAGGAGCAGCCAGTGAGGACAGGACTTCAAATGAACATAGAAAAGAGGTGTTGATGCAGATAACCGACCACAACAACAATAACAAGCTCTAGTAAGCATCAAAAGAATGAATTTGAAAGAGTTCACTTCCTTGACTTATCTAGGAAGCATCCTTTCAACTACATGCAGCACCTATGAAGATGCGACAACCTTCATCACTCTGAAAGCAGTCTGGAAATCTTATACACTCAGTTAGCATAAACAACAAAATTCGAATTTTCAATATCAGTGTTAAGTCAGTCACTTAATACACGAATCACGGAAAGCATTTCTAACATGTGACTGACGACTTTTATCAACCTCTGCCTCTCTCACTGGCTTCATGCTGAAAATTATAATGGCAGGTTAAAAAGAATTAGAAACAGGAGACTCTGGGAATGACCCACCAAGAACCTACTGCCGAACAAATCTGTCGTGGAAAATGGAGATGGACAGGACACACCCTCAGGTCATCGCTTGAGTGCAACCTGAATGGGGAACGAAGAGTTTGGTCATAGGTCCCAGAGCGACATGGAAGAGATTGTGTAGTGGGAAGGAGATGATAGCCTATTCTCGGTGGTGTGGCCAACTTATGAGGATTGAAGAAAAGAAGATGAAATGCAGATACGCTGTTAAAGTCCTATATTCCACTAGGAACTAAATAGAGAAACAATAATAATGTAATATATCTAGATGATAAAATGAAATGGTCAGGAATAAATTGTTTTTACCAGATGGGATATGTGTGTATCAGTTGACTACAGAAGGTCGTATCCGATCAGGCAAAAAACAATCGTAACTAGAGTAGTTGAGGCAGAAGAGAAGCATTCATTCAAATGACTGAAAAAGAATGGAACAAAGTTTATCTGTCTGTATAATTATTGGGTGAATATCACTTAGCCTGAAACCAAGAGCGCAAGTTAACTCACATAAAAAACACCAAATGAAAGACTAAAAATATTATACGAATACAACTTTGATTCAGAAATCTCTAGGCCTTTAGTAGGAATAATGGTACAAAATGTCTACATTTTGCATGCCAAATACCAATTCCTGTTTCCTTTGCAAATTTTTCGGATTAAAACAAATATATATATTTGACCATGTATGTTTCTAATGTGTCCAACCAAGCACTGCTTCCCTGACGTAGTGAAGCATTTTGCACACTGTGATGAACCAGCGACCGATACTTGGTGGAAAGAATGTTTCTGAAGCTCACAAAATATCATAAAGTAAGGTCGGGTAGTAGTTAGATTAAAAGCAGTTATCATCCCAGTATAGGTTACTTACTCTGTAGGAGGATTTGAGGGCGAAGTCACAGTGCTCGTGGAATAGGAATATAATAGCCCAAAGGTGTTTCCCTAGTACGAAGAGAAAGCCATGTATTCTGTCTTCATATTCCAGTTGATCAGGCTTTAAAATGATCAAAAGCCTTCAAAATCCCATATCGTGACTCACTTTTTGACTACCATTTCCCGGCACTAAGGTGTTTTTTACCAGTGGAACCACAAAATCTCTGCGTGAATAAGCTTCATCAGCCGAAAATCTGAAATCTTTGACTCTGTATGTACGTTGTGTCACTGAGAAATTTACATAAGTTCAGGTATATACTTAGACCAGACTGACCAATAGGAATATTTGAAAATATATACATGTTTCAGAGATAGAATCAACTAGATTTTCGTTCTCAGTTTTTGAGTGGACCAAATACTATTACTGAATCAGGTAATGATAGATGGGAATAGAACATTTATATAGTGGCGGATATTTTTGTGGCACAATAACAGGAACATCATAAGAAATCTATAGGTTTCCGAAAAGGTTACATGTATCCTGCGGATCAAGTAAAACGAAAACTCAGTCTGCACAGAATAAAATCTACGTTCGAACTTACTTTGTTTCATTTAATGTCTCAAGCTGCAGTAATGCTTCAGATTTAGACTTCCACCAGTGCCTGTGTTGATCGTAGTGAGATTTTAATCTGAAATCAAGATCATCGTTTGGTGCCTCAGGATCAAAATATTCAGCCTAATGATAACATGAAACGTTAAATTTTGTGGGCTCACTGTGTGTCTTAGGCTAGAAAGGGTATGTTGAGTGCAAAGTTTATTCCAAGGGTCTTCAAGTTGGGCTAAATGAGGTGGAAGATTAAATACTTTGTGCTTCCAAATATCAACTAAGTTGTACAAATTACCTCCTTTTTCTTTAAATGGGTAAAATCGTCATCGTTCTCATAAACAAACGGTGGTAAAGGATTACGTCCAGCAGGACACATAATTACCCTGAAATTTTAAAAGGAAATCTACTCTTGTTGTCATGTAAGTTGATTAAAACAAATCCACAATCCTTCAGGAGTATAAATACTAGGCTAACAAGCTTTTGATAACTCAAACAGATACGTCTGTCTAAAAACAAAACAGTTCTTGATTTTATTTTCCACGGCTATCTTAAATGAAGTTCTAAGTGAAGAAGTAGATAATGTCGATCCGCTGAAAAGGGAAGTGAATGAATGTATAATATGAGTTGAAATGGCTGGAAATCTCTGAAAGTGACACTTAAGGAAGCATGCACAGTCTTTTAAGGAAGAAAGAAGAGGCATGGCTAGAACCTGTTATATACGGACATACGGACGGTAACAGAAGAGAGGGTGATGATGAAACAGAATATGAACCAGTGCAAAGATGGGCAACAGAAGAAGAAGCTGAGTCCCTTGCACACAACACCCAATGACGAAGTGAAGAAGAATGCTAGGAAAAATAGAAGACGATTCTGCGACAAACTGGCAACTGAAGCAGTAAAGGCCTCAAGCAGAAGAGACCTAAGATCATTTAATCAGAGAAAGGTGTCCCTATCCTGTAAGGGATTAACACAGATGAAACCAATGAAAGATAGCGGAAACAACCTAATTACCAGAGAGAGGAGTCAAAGAAAACAATGGCTGATCAGTTCAAGTGACTCGTGAACTAACTATTACCTGCAGCTTACTTAGAAATACTACCAACAGGCTCAGAGCTGCGAGTGGGGATCGATACTCGAAAATGTAATCAAGCGACTGGCAGTAGAAGCGGTTGGAATTCCTTCTGTATCGCTGAAAACAGAGCCGGGGACCTGAAATAATAGCTCACACCACTAGCACAAAATGCTGGCAAGGAATGTGCCTGCTGAATGGAAAGGAGACTATCTGGCTAAAACACTCGGTGTGGGCGACTAAGGCCTCTGCAGGACTGACGAGGAATTGTGTTCTTGTGTATACTAAAGGAGATAATTTTTCTCATCCTGTAGGATTTACAGTATGCCCCGAATGCAGGACCCCGACCAGAATAAGCTGGATGAAGGAAAGGCAAATAATGCGCAACTATACGTGTCACTATGGGTAAATTTTTATTTTGATAGAGTCTCACAGTGTTATACAGTAATATTTACTGATGACGTTTCTAGCACAATTTATTGCTCATAATCATATCAAGGTACTCACACGACTTCCTAAATTCATTTATATAGTTCCATTGTTTTTCACTTGATTTGATTGGTAGTATTATTTTCCATATTTCAGGTATGAGTGATGAATCATTCCTACTGCATGTGTTGGGTGTAGATTCGATGAAAAAAGATTCAGTAATCAACCTCTCTCTCCACCTACCTAGATTACTTTTTAGAATTTTAACCATTTCCCACCCTATTGTGTGGTTGTGTGTTAAAGCATGCATTGCAATTGCTGAGTTTTTTTCCAAATTACTTATCTTCTCTGGGTCAACCATTCTTACCTTAGCTAAATTCTTATGTTCTGACAATCTGACTACCCCTGACCTACTAGTGTGACCTATGCAGTTGACCTCACAGTGATTGCAGGGTATTTTGTTAATTATATTATTTTGTCTAATTGGGTCCACTGGGTCCTTTAACCCACAGAGCTTGTCCCTGAGTGAGTTTGTAAGTTTAAATGCCACCCTAATTCCTGCTTTATTTGGAATCCTACGTAGGGTCTCAGATGTCCCCTCTTTATATGGTATAACTGTAGATGCCCTATATTGTCTCTTATTTATGTTATTATTACTAGTTTCACAATTATTTTTCTTTTTCTTTTGGCGTTTTTCAATCTTCCTAATGAATTTTAGAGGATAGTTATTTAAAACCAACGCCTCTTCTATCCGTTTTATTTCATCATTAAGGTCTTTTTTGTACTACTTAGTGCCATTGCTCGGTTTGTTAAACACTTAACTAAGCCTGCCCTAACAGTTAAAGGATGAGATGAATTAAAGTCTAAATATCTATTAGAATGCGTTGGTTTTCTATAAACACTAGTGTGTAGTTTGCCTTCTTCTATTAGTTTTATTTTACAATCTAACATAGCTAATTCTCCTTGCTCATTTTCCGATTCAAATGTGAATTTTATTCGAGTAAAATATACGTATCACTGTAGAACAGAGTATAGGATGGCAATCAAACCTCCACCATAGCCCCATCTATTTTGTTATGAACCTCGATAGAGTCGACGACGAAGCAATTTGGAAACTACTTCAGCAGTATGCAGTTCTCCAAGTCTTTGTCAGTCTCACTCAATGGATACATAACAATACTACATGTCAGGTGATCAACGACGGGAAAGTAAGGGAGGCCCGTGCAGGGAAGGTAGGAGTAAGACATGGTTGCCTACTTTCATCGATGGTGTTCCTAACTACAGCGGACTGAGTCTTGAGACAGAACAAAGGAAGCTAGAGGACTGGAATAAGATGGACTGAAAAGTAGCATGCAGAAGACATGGACTCTGAGGGTGATTTGTGTCCAGCGTAGCACAAACTTGAAGACCTACAAGAGAAAACCAACAAGTTGGAAGGCGAAGCAGATGGAGAATTCGGAAGTTTATGAGAACATAAGAAATATGGTGGCGATGAAGGTAACCAATCAATAACAAAAGGGATCAACGGAAGAGATTTGGAAGTGGTCAAACCTCTAACTTACCTAGGCAGCATCTTTTCAAATACAGGCTATTGGCACACATGAGGATGTCAAACCAGAATCAGAAAGGTAAATCAGTTTTGAGACCTTCCACACTGATCATAAGGAACGAAATTTGGATTTTCAACTCTAATTTTAAGTTAGCGCTTCCATATTTGTCAGAAACTCGGTGCACGCGTTACGAAAAGTATTTTCAGTAAGCTTCAGACTTTAGTCAACAGTCCTCTTCGCCCTATAAGGAATATCAGTCGGACAGAAATGACAAGCAGCAGGGAACTCTTGGAATGGATTGAGAACCCATTGTGGGACAAATATGCGGAAGAAAATGCAAATGGGTAAGACAAACGTTGAGAAGACCATTGGATGGCATCGTGCTCCATACCCCTAAGTGGAATCCAAATGGAAAACGGTGGTTTGGGTGCCCGAAAGTGGCATGGAGTATAATAATAATGTATTTCATATAAATTTACAAATTTACATGAAAATGCATGCCATTTTTACAGGCACGATCAAGTATGATATAATAACAAATCGTAGATTGTCTACAAGTTAATCGTATTTCAACTGTTAAATATTCGATACATATAATACACTCATTTTCTGAATTAGGCCGTATAGTTATTGAATTGTACAGTTGTCCTCCAGGTTGAGCGGGAAAATCGACTTCGTTCCGTTTTCATCCCGTGGTTGTAGGCATACGATAACCAACCAATATTGAGGTAAGTACACCTTTTACAAGGGATTGGAATCTGTTTTAGAAAAATTAAAGTTCTGAGGTGAATCATTAAATTGTAATGAAATAGGTAAGTGCAAGTATCATTAATAAATGCATTAATAAAGGAAACACCCTAGGGTAACAACATTCATTTGCAATGTATAATGCTACAGATATATCACAAACTATCATGATATCCACTTTTGGTTTTAATACAATTATCCTCATGCCAGTTGTTTTTATTTTATACCTTTTTGTGCATTTAGTGCACAACCGTACCCTTCAGAGAGTAGGAGTATAATAAGTAATGAAGAGCTATAAGATGTTAAGTTTAATGGAGTAAAATGAGGATCAAGTAAAGACGTTGTCAGAAAATAAATGAGATAAGACATTGTGGAGTGGTATGAAAAGATCTGACGACAGACAGCAAGTTAATTTATAAGATGCCCCATAAATCTGAGCAGACCCCACATGGTCGCATCTCAACAATAGACTGGGTGAATGGTATATATTTAAAGGTAGAAGCATGATCTGTCAAGGCGTTCATTGTTATCTTTTTCAAGATAAAGATTTAAACCCTCATAAAAATCAGAAATATCTCGAGCCTTCAAATTTTTTAATGCTGTTCCTGCAGAATGGGGCGATTCACCTTAGTGACCCTCACCATATCTACTGATCAGCTAACTCCACCCTCCCACCTTTAAAGTGCTTAGCTCGAGTATGTTATGGAAAAGGGGGATTAGAGCTGATGGGGACATATGAGAAGAGATGCAGAGAGCAAGACAAAAAAGAAATGTGTTGTTGAAACCCTGTGTTCCATTCGGAACCAATGGGAATCATCAATACATTTATATGATGTGTCGAAATGATAGTAACATTAATTGTAGCTTCGTCACCGCAATATGGGCCACGCCAATTTCGTTCATTTTTTGGTGATGTTCGTTAACGCCCAAATAGAAGAAATGGGACATTTTTGAATACGTAAGAACGTGTCTTGATAGTCTGATGCAATTGGCAGCTGATAATAACCCTGACGTTTTCTTACGAAATCTTTATTTAGATTTCTTGCTGTGAAGCGAGGTGATCCCGGATATTTGGTTTATCTCGCCCAAAATTTTTCTGCGGTGAATTGTCTGAAGTCGTGAATAATGTTATCTCTCGGTGATAGAAACACAATCTACGTTTGGCAACGGTTGACTGGAAAGTGACGTCAGCTCTCCATGTTTCCTGAGACAGTGTCCCACAGCTGCTGATTTCTCAAGGGGCCACAAGCCGCTACGTCGAAAGGAAAGTTACTTATGGCGATGCATTCAACAAACCAGAAGTTTGAAACTGCATGCGTTGATTTTGAAGGTATATATTTCAAATTTCATTAAGGATAGCTAGTAGGCGACTTCAAAACCTTACGTGTATTCCTCAACTTGCAAACGGACTAAGTCCTATTACAGTTCCTCGGGTGTTTACCAGATGCTTTGACGATGGGCAACGAAGAAACTGGATCAGAATTGGTGTTGGCATGGGGGAAGATCACTTGAGATTGTAGCAAGAAAGTGGAATTAAAACACCTCCCGAGCGACCTATTCGTGGTGCTGATATTAAATGGAATATTT